CGTACGTACCTCGTAGTAGTAGTACTTTGTAAGTCTACTGTAAGACAAAAATCGCACCAGACGGGTTCAAGCATCGTAACACGTTATGGGAGTTTGACTAAGTGCAGGCAGTGTAGTATACTAAGTGCACTACACTACATTAATAAGTGCACTATGGTCAATCAATCACTTATAAGTTATAACATCAATTCTCTATGCACGCAGGGGCTCCAGGGTTTATTTATTAACTTATCAACCACTCTTTTATGGGGATTTATAAGTAGCGTACCATACTATCGTCCTCTAACTGTACTTAGGTATGACCACCCGGAAGGCGAGGGAGAAGGGAGAAGGAAGGGTCGATCGACTCTGTTGAAGAAGACTTTCTAAATTCTGACGTGCGACAACAGCATTCCTTCCTACATCTTCATTCCTCCCGTCGCGCGAAAACCCAATCTAGTCCAATTCAAACAATAAACTTTGATTCCATACCTATTCCATCTTATTGTCAACAAAAAGAACCCTTCTTATGAGAGTATCTCGACCATCTGGAGCATCGGCCGCGCTTCCCTGTCAGTCTGTACATTAACCCACCAAAAATTACCCTGACTTCCGGCACGCATAAATAAATTCTAGGGTCACAACAGGGGTAGAATCCTAAATTATATTATTGTTCGCAGCTGCATCCGCCCAACTGAGTTGCCCTTGGGATGCTTCGAATCCAACAAGAATAAGGCTACCACCACGGATACATTCTTTCCTTGCCTTCGACTCAAATCAGCTTGGAATTTGAGGAGAAGATTGTGAAATTTGATCATTACACTATACAATTTAGAGAAGGTATCACCGGTAAGATACTACCTTGTCCACTCACATAATCTCCATCCAGAGATCTATGACACCATGTCACCCAATACTGATTCACTTTTCACATAGATTAACCTTTCTTTGTCTTTTAACGAGATCAATCTGCCACGCCCGTTTGCCTTCTTTCTCAAACTCTACCATTACACACAAGTGCTTCTCAAACATCCTAAGAAAATACCCCCCTCGCCATACCTTCGCAACTCTCTCTTCCTACCTCGGTACAAAGTCATCTCACCATACGGCGCAGCTGAATCTCCAGAAAGCACGGGTATATTCCCAATAATCATCTGAGCCCGTCCGGCAGATTTCGAGTGGAGTAGTGTCAAGTGCGGGTCGAAGGTCGAACAGCGGGATTGACCATGTCAACCCAAGTTGCAACCCCCCCTGGTCCAGAAGGCTTCAGAGTCGCTTCCCCTAAAGGATCGCCTGCTGAATATTTTGACGGAGAAGATTCAAAAGAAAACAATACTGGGCGAAAGTCAGTACCACCGTCATCTCCTGCTGGGAGGAGACAAGGATCGCCAATGACTCTCACTAAAATAAATATCCAACGACAGTCTCGTCAGTCGCAGATCGAAAATGAAAATCCAACTCTCCGGGAATCACAAAAACAACATGAAAATGAGAGTTCTCAACAGCCAAAAACCTTTATACCTATCACTTCCGAAATACCATACCGGACACCAGCGGCGCCCCCAACAACTAATATCGAGCTTCCACAGCAATCAGAAGTGAGAACATCTGGGGAATCGTCTTCGGCATCAAGAACTTCGTCGGAGAACTCAATAGCATACCCGACCCGATTTAGAAATTCAATTCCTGAAAAGATCGATGAAAATGAGGTTGATGCAAATGAACAATCAGTCCCTCACCTACAGTATTACCATGAGAATCCAAGAACTCCAAATCATCGAGCTTCTATGCCCGTCGGCCCTAGTTCGAATGATTTTACGGAAGCAGGCACCTCGACGACTCGCCACTTGACTCCCAATTCATATGCCAGACATTCTTCTAATAACTCAAGTCAAAGACCACTATCTGCGTACTCTGACCTTGGTGGTAGAGGTCATTCACCGGTCAATGGTCCCGGCTCACCAATTTGGAATGGACGTGCGGGATCCGCTAACTCTGGGAGGTCTCATGACAGGCCAATGTCGTATGTGGATCTTGCTAATATGCCCTACACGAGACAACATGCACCAGGCCCGATCTCACTTGACAATTCGCAGTTGAGGACAGTAGTAGGGTCCAATGCGTCGTTACTCAGCGCACAAAAGACACTGGAAATGTATCGGCAAAACGCAAAGAAATCGAGCAGTTCGGAGATACAATACTCTTTTGCCATATTTCTAATACAGGCGGCTCAAGAGGCCGGTCTAAATGTAGAAGAGGATACGCCGCGAAAAGCTAGTCCGAAGCCTGGTCGTAATAGCCCTTATATTGAAAGCGAACCAGCCACTCCACAAAACCTACTGCGCGAAGCCAAGAGCATTCTACAAAAACTAGCCGATCGAGGGTATCCATTTGCACAATATTATTTAGCTGATGGTTATTCTTCTGGGCTTTTTAACAAAGGGAAACCAGATCACAATACAGCCTTTTCTCTATTCGTTTCGGCAAGCAAGCACGGCCATGCTGAGTCTGGCTACCGTGCCGCGCTGTGTTATGAATTCGGATGGGGCTGTAGAGCTGACGCTGCTAAAGCAGTCCAATTTTATCGAGCAGCGGCAGCTAAAAATCACCCAGGTGCAATGACTCGTCTTGGTCGAGCCTGTCTCTCTGGGGACCTCGGCTTTGACAGATACAAGGAGGGGCTTAAATGGCTGAAACGAGCTACTGAATCAGCAGATGCTCAGTACAATTCAGCACCATATCATCTTGGAGTATTATACGAGAATGGCTATGGAGAAGATCTTTTCAAAGATGAAGCATATGCAGCTGAGCTGTTTACTCAAGCAGCAGAATTGGGAAACGCCGACGCTTCTTTCAAACTAGGTGAGGCATACGAACATGGAAAACTTTCATGTCCACGCGATCCAGCCTTAAGCGTGCATTTCTACAATGGATCTGCAGAGGCTGGTAATCCCGAGGCTATGATGGCATTGTGTGCCTGGTATCTCATCGGTGCGGAGCCCGTACTCGAGAAAGACGAGAATGAGGCATACGAGTGGGCACGGCGAGCTGCTGAGACGAGTAAGTGTTCTACGTTATTCATTTATCAATCTCAAACTTACCATGTTATAGATCTTACCAAGGCAGTGTATGCTGTAGGATATTTCACCGAGATGGGCATTGGTTGCCGACGCGATCCGTTGGAAGCTAATGTTTGGTATGTGAAAGCAGCCGAATGTGGCGATGAGCGCGCGAAACACCGACTTGCCAAAATTCGGGTAGCAGCATCAGGAGGCACGCCGATGGAAGTCGCGCCACCCAGAAATGGAGCCAAGATTAAAAAGAGTGCTTCGACGGTTGACAAGCCAGGGAAAGATGAAAAAGAATGTGTGATAATGTGAAGTTGGTAAAAGGAATTTCATTCTTTTGGGAAAGGGGGAGCAAAGAACTTTGCGAAGTGCAATTAGGTTCAATCACTAATAAATGGTAGAACGTTTGATAAGGTAAGACTGATA